ACATTTGCAACCAAACCCATTGGCTTAGCGAGCATGTCTACATCCTCATACACAACTCGAGCTACAAATCTTCTCGAAAATATTGTAATTGCTGCTGGTATGCGGACTTGAGACAGCAAAGGAGTCCTACAAGGCCTGACTTGAATAGGAAAATATGGAGGCTGGTACCCAGGAGAGTGCACACCCTGGAAAGTTCCCCTACATATGGGTTGGAACAATTAAATTACTTAGTGAGACCCAACTCGGAGCCAATTAAAATTTGAATGTTTGGTTAAATGGTTGCCCAGTTCCCATGGAGGCCGATATTAGTGGAGCTGTATCTGTGGTTGCAGAATCTGTCTTTAATAAGAGTCACTCGGAACTCCAACCTTTAAGCTTGTGCAAGACCTTAGCCAGACTGAGAACATACACTGGGGAGCTATTACATGTTAAGGGGATGATTTCGGTTCTGGTCTCCTATGAGAAGCAAATGGTGCAGTTACTACTGATGTAGTAAAAGACTTGGGCCCAAGCCTATTGAGGTGGAATTGGTTGAAAAAGGTTCATCTTCATTGGCTCAACATTTTTCAATTGGGAAATGGCTACCTCAGTGAAGTACTAGTGAAATACCCAGGAGTATTTCAAGAAGAGTTTGGGACTATCAAAGGGGTCAAAGCCACTTTATACATTGACCAGGACGCAATTCTGAGATTTTGCAAGACCCACCTGGTGCCATTTGCCTTGTGGGCAAAAGTAGAGGTGGAAATCAGGAGGCTGGAAAGTGAAGGAAACATCAAACCAGTGCAGTTTGCAGAATGGGCAGCACTGGTTGTACCGATTGTGAAGCCTGATGTCTCAGTTTGCCTTTGTGGGATTTCAAGCAAACAGTAAACCGTTTCTTAGAGCTGGATAAATACCCGATCCCTTGCAAAAAGGACTTGTATAGAAAGTTGGCAGGGGGACGGTACTTTATGAAGCTGGATATAAGCCACGCCTAACTGCAATTCCAGCTGAATGAGGATTCCCAGAAGTATGTTGCAATTAATACCCATAAAGGTCTATAATCAATATAAAGACTGCAATTTGGGGTGCCATCAGCCTGCGCCCTTTTCCAGCAGACCATGGAGAACATTTTACAAGGGCTACCCCAGGTCGCTATTTATCTGGATGACGTACCAAAAACAGGGAAGACCAATAAAGAGCACTTGGAGAACTTGGTCATACTGCTTAAACTTTTCTCCCAGGCAGGTGTACGCCTTAGAAAATGTGTGTTCCAGGCATCCCAGGTGACCTACTTGGCTTACAGAGTCGACAAAACTGGGTTACACCCACTGGAAGAGAAGGTGAGGGCGATCAAAGGAGCCTGGCTCCCATATCTGTACCAGAGCTTAGGTCTTTCCTGGGGTTAATGAATTATTATGGAAAATTCATACATAACATGGCCTCCATCTTGGCACCCCTACACCTGCTATTAAAAAGGAGTTATCCTTGGAAATGGTCACAAAGCCAAGAAGCAGCCTTTAGGGAAATGAAAAAGCAGCTATCTCATCTAAGGTGTTGGACTACTACGATCTGAAGTGAGAAGTAGTGTTGACATGCGATTCCTCCCCATACAGTATCGGGAAAGTGTTGGCTCACTGGTGGCCCAATGGAGAGAAACTATTGGGTACTCCACCAGTGGTGCGTCCCCTGCAAGAGTTGATTTTGGTTTTAAACTTTCTGGATATCCTTGATGTCACAGCAGACAATACCCGATAGTGGACAGGAAAAGATACTGCCCTAGCTAAACTGAAACAGCTGGCGGTGATGGAGGAAACAGAAGGGCCATCGCAACTAAGATTGAAACCTTTTTGGACCTGGCAAGATCAGGTCAGTGTGGAGGATGGCATATTACTGTGGGGAGCAAGGGTTGTTGTCCCAAGTAAAGGTTGCTGCCAGATGTTGGTCGAACTCCACCTGGGTTATCCAGAGGTTTTGAAAATGAAGATGCTACCAAGAAGCTATCTCTGGTGGCCAGGACTGGATGCTGACATAGCTGCATTGGTGGGGTATTGCCCAAAGTATCAACAAGGACAAAAATTGCTACCAGTACCACCGGTACATTCATGGGAATGGCTGGGTAAACCCTGGACTTGGTTGCATGTTGACTATGCCGGTTCTTTCATGGGCTCAATGTTCCTGGTCATTGTGGACACCCATTCAAAGTGGTTGGACATAAATAAAGTTTGTTCAGCAAAGATAATTGAGAAGCTGCAAGCTTTTCTGATATATGGACTCCCAGAAGTATTGGTCACCGACAGTGCAACATGATTTACCAGCAGGGAATTTGGATACTTCCTAAAGTCCAATGACATTCAACACATAAGGATAGATCTTTACCATCTGTTGTCCAATGGTCTAGCAGAAAGAGTGGTCCAAATGTTGAAGGCAGGCTTAAAGAAGCAGCTTACAGCATCAATTGAGACCAATCTGTCCCGGTTCCTGTTTGATATAGGACTACCCCACAAGAAACAACAGGGATAGCTCCAGCGGAGTTGCTGATGGGGAGAAGACTCCGCACCAGGTATTTCCACACCTGAAGGGGAAGGGTGAAACGGCAGCAGGAGCACCAATGCTAGCCAAATGCTGCCTCTGAGCAAGAGAGACAATTTAATTCAGGGGACGAAGTTCAGTGCTGGAACCATGGAAATGGCCCAGTATGGGTACAAGGCAAGGTTGACGCGAGGTCAGGTCCCATGACTTACAAAGTTTGGCTCGGTGATACTATCAAGAACAAACACTTAGATCACCTGAACGCCATTACCTCGCAAACGGGGCGGGTGTGAAACATACCTGTCCACTCAGAACAGCCCCAAGGCCTGGCAGAAACCGCAGGTGCTCCCCCTCCTAGTCTCAAGGGAAACTCAGAGTCCAAAATGGATGCAGCCTCGATACTGTTGCCACCGGAAGAAAAGGAGGAGACTCTCTTGAGACGTTCCGATGTAAAGACGAGGCATGGTCCGCACATATGACTGTGTTTGAGTTCCAGTCAGAGGAACTGAACCTGGGGCGAAAACATCACACAAGAAGCTACAAGTGAAAGATCAGGCCTACGTTCCCTGACCTGGGGGATGGGGGGAGGTGGTAGGGATGTAGTGATTGGAACCAGGTGGACCTTGTTGAGTGCAAGGTTCTTGATTGTGGTTGTTATTGTGGGCCAATCAAGAAAGCCTGGGCTAACCAATGTAACCACAAGATTAGAATCTCCCCAGTTGAGGACTCTGAGCTGGCTGGACACGGGCAGTGTACTGTGCACTAGTAAATAAAGGGTGAAATGATGAAGGGACACCAGTTTCTGTGCAGTTATTTCAAACCTGGGATGAAAGTGGACATTGGAACAGCAGAAATGATGACAGACTCAATTTTTTTGTTGAGAATAAGGGCATCAAAGGTGGTCTGAGAGAAATTTTGAGCAGTGAAGGATTATCATGATGAACAAATTACTCAGCAGTTAGGAATTTGTAAAGGCAGATGTAAATGCCTTGGAGGAAAACTTTAACCTGATAGATTCTAATAGAAATCGTCTGAATACAAAAAAAACTGGGAAAAAATAACATGAAATGCATTATATTCAAGGAAGTATGCCATATGTTTACATCAAAACCGGGGTTGAAATATTGTGACGACCGAAGTACAATTATCCTTCTCCCTAACCCAGTTCACCATAGATTATACTCAGCCATAACGCTGTCCACTGCCATGTGAGATTTGCTAGTATAATGAATATTACAAGAATGCTGTTGAATTGTTATCTCAACTGTTTTTTCAGAGTGATGTAGATTTGGATTGTGATTTGTTTCTGAAAATATTAACATTGAATTTTCATCAATGAGATGACACCTTATCTTGAATTTTGAATTGTTAAGGAGTTGATACCTATGCTGAGCTGACATGAATGAGGTGTTGAATAGAGGGGCAGTCTTGAGGTGCCAAATGGCCTACTTCTCCGATATCTTACGTTCTTATGTTGGATTCTTAAAATATTGGATGAAAAATGTAGTAGTACTGAGTAAAGCTGCCAAAACACAAAGCTGCTTTTTAAATGTCAGTGGAGATTAATTGAATAATAGTCAATTGAATGATAGTATGCTATTGTTCTTTATAACGGTTTTCTCCTTTATACATTTTCTGTTTTGTTTGTTTCTTTTGTTCAACAGCATTTGTATGGTGTATCTTTGCTTAGTCTCTGTACTTTGAGTATTCTGTTATTTATCAAAGGACAGTGGCTGATTTGGAAGTTGATACTTGTGTTCCATTTGAGATAAGTAAATGAGTTGCATTAACTAATCATGTTCTATGCTTCAAGCAATAAAAGAAGATTGCATTTCATTGGAGATATGTCAGATGTTGGTATTTTTGTTGGATATACCATGATGTGCTTTTGGAAAGTAGTAGTGATGTAGAATATATACTTGGCAGTTTTCAGGCACATATATCTTGTGTGAACTTAGCTTTTGAATATTATTGTTTTTCTACTTGTGGTGAATACAACTGATCGGCTTGAAATTTTCTTAGAAGGCTGCTTATCTGGTCCTCTGACGTCACCAAATCTGCTGATTATGCATATACCTTGACTTCTGCTCTGAAGCTTTGTGCTTTACTGGATCATTAATGGTCACTTAGGATTTTTGACAAGTAATTAATTGGAAATGTTGTGAACAAAATTTATTCATTCTGTTGTTCTAAGTTTTTTGAAGATAAGCTAAAGTTAAAATTTGGAATATAGAGGAAAGTAGTTTCTGCTGTACTGAGTTACTTTTGCAGCCGATGAAATGTTGTGTCAGGAGCATAACCTTGCCAAAAAATCTCCAGTGTATGGACATTGTACTTTTAATAGCAAGGGTTCGATGTACAAATGGCATTTTTTACAAGTCAAAATGGTAATGATTTGAGGCACATGATGATTCCTGACAGAATTCCTTGGTTTGCATTGTTAAACTTGAGTTCCATCGAAGCACTTACTGGAATTGTTCTTTTTGTAGGAAAATTTGGGAGCATTTCATCTTCCTTTGTCACAAAAATGGAAGCCTCCACGGAGCCACCTTACATGAGATCAAGACACAGCTTGATAACTTGGAACTCAGCAGAGGCTGTGTGCTCAACCCTCTGGCTCCTGAATTCATCCCTCGAACCATTCAAAATTTTACAGCTTTTACTGGCAGACTCCAGGCATCACCAGCAAAGACTTGTTCCCAGGTAAAACTCATTTTCATGTGTGTGTTTTGGTGCAATAGCAGAGGTGAATAAACCAACATTGGCAATATATCTACCAATAAATAACACAGGTGCTGGGTCCACTGCTTTTCATCATTTATATAAATGATTTGGATGTGAATATACGAGGTATAGTTAGTAAATTTGCAGATGACACCAACACCGGTGGTGGAGTGGACAGTGAAGATGGTTATTTCAGAGTACAATGGGACCTTGATCAGATGGGCTGAGGAGTGGCAGATGGAGCCTAATTTAAATTAATGTGAGGTGCTGCAGTTTGGTAAGGCAAATCAGGGCAGGACTTATGCAGTTAATGGCAAGGTCCTGGGAGTGTTGCTGAACAAAGAAACCCAGGGGTGCAGGTGCATAGTTCCTTGAAAGTGGAGTTGCAGATAGACAGGGTGGTAAAGAAAGCATTTGACGTGCCTACCTGCATCGGTCAGTGCATTATGTATAGGAGTTGGAATGTCATGTCACAGCCATACAGGACATTGGTTAGGCCACTTTTAGACTACTGTATTCAATTCTGGTCTCCCTGTTACAGGAAAGATGTTGTTAAACTTGAGAGGGTTCAGAAAAGATTTACAAAGATGTTGCCAGGATTGGACAGTTTGAGCTCTAGACGAGAGGCTGAATAGGCTGATGCTTTTTTTCCCTGGAGTGTTGGAGACCGAGTGGTGACCTTGTATCATGAGGGGCATGGATAGGGTGAATAGCCAAGTTCTTTTACCCAGAGTAGGGGAGTCCAAAACTAGAGGGCATAGGTTTAAGGTGAGGGGGGAAAGGTTTAAAAGGGACCTGAGGGGCAACATTTTCACACAGAGGGTGATGTGTGTATGGAACGAGCTGCCAGAAGAAGTGGTGGAGTGGGTACAATTACATCATTTAAAAGGCATTTGGATGGGTATATGAATAGGATTGACAGCGATATGTGCCAAATGCTGGCAAATGAGACTAAGTCAGATCGGTATGCCGGGTCGTTGCTGAAGAGTTGGACCGACAGGTCTCTTTCAGTGCTGTATGATTCTATTCAGTGTTCATGCTGTAGCATGTTTTGCAGTGACAAAAAGAGTGGTTCTTCTGCTGTACTGTAAGATGTATGTTCAGAAACCGTGAGATGGATTGCAAACCCATTGGAATATATTAGACCTGGGCTTAATCAAAAAGAATAAGACTGCAAAGAAAGATACATGAATGATACACCTTGAACAAACAAACAATATGCTCCCAGACAAAATGGTTCTGCCTACAAATCTCAGAAGAATAGCTGATTGGACACGTTTGTTTTAATAGGCATCATCTTGTTGTTCTTCTGAAGCACATATTTAGTCCAAAGCTGCCAATTTTCATGTTAACAACATCTTTGAGGTCAAGAAATGCTTTAATACACTTTCACTTGCGTTGCATTTGTACCTTCGGTTTAACCTCATAACTACAATCTATGTGTGGACTACATAATAGCAATAGTACAAACATTAAACTGTAGGAAAGATAAAGAAAGGAGAATTGGTAACTGTAATGATTTAGACATAGAAACAAGGAAGAGAGGAGCAAAAATAAGCCATTTGAACCCTCGGGCCTGCTCTGCCATTCACATATGATTATATTTGATCATTGAGCTTAATACCCTAATCCTGCCCTCCTTCAATATCTCTTGATCCCTTTGGCCACAAGAACTATAGCTACCTCCTTATTGAAAATGCAATACTTTGGCCTTAACCACTTCTCATCTCAGTCCTAAAAGGTTTATCCCTTTTCCTTAAACTATAACCCTTGATTCTGGACTCGCCCACCATCATTCTGCTTCCAAGCTGTCTAGTCTTGGTGATTGTAGCTGTTGTGCACCTCTCTGATTTCTCACATATAACCCTTGCTTGTGAACACGTCTTTTTAAATAGGGCCAGAGAGAGACCAATCTGGGGAAAATTTTTCTGTTGGATGTAAAACTATTCATCCAAGTCAGTTGTTTGCATTGCATATGAGGTACAGTGTGAGCAAACATAAACAATGGACAAAAAGTAATTTCTGTTGACTCATTCTGTGAAGGACTTGAACTGCATTAAAAACATAATTTTAATTTTGCCTAGGATGGAAAGGGTAAATTTTACAAAAATATCATTTTCACTTTATGCATATTAATATATTCTAAGCCAGCTGTAGAGATTACAATTAAGACGCACATCTTTTCTTTCATGGAAAGAGTTTATTGACTTCCCTTTTATTCACAGTGTTGTAGATGTTCTCTGTTTATATATGCACGAACAATTCATAACTACTATCTGTTTTTTCTCAGACTTATATAAGGATATTAACATATTCCTTTTCTTTAAATAAATGTACATCCACAGTCCAACACTGGACCATTGCATGCATCTGTAACTAGAACATTTATTACTGGGCTAAAGTATGATTCCTTCTGCCTGATAAGTATTCCTCTCTTCTCACTTTGAACTTCTGTGTCATGTATCATTTTAAAATGTGTTATGCCCTTTAGGACAACTCATTACATAATGATATTTAGGATTGGATATAAAAATTTGTTGACCATTCTCCATGCATACCTGGAGTTCATTCTTATAGTATAGTTTCCCAGTTCCTGTCATAACTACCAAAGGTGATTTTATCCTCTTTTGGTTATGACCCTTTCTTCATACTGTTGCTTGCATCCAATATTTAGATGGCCTGAAAAGCCACGATCATTGAATCCTACTTTATTTTTGTTCGTGCCGAATGTCTCATTTGTATCTTGAAAACTGTTATAAAAGGTTTTACCAGTTAATATTCCAGTTAACAGTCTATCCATATTTGACACCTTGGCATAATCCAGGAATTTAAAAGCAAGCACTGAATTAGGATCTTCAAGTAGATCTTTTGCAATCTTGCAAAAAGTCTGTTAAATTACATTATATACTCTATAGCTTATCCATTGGCTTTCTAAATTTATCAGTCTGACCATAATTTATGTACATTTGATAGGACATCTTTTCCTATGAGTGTTCATAAATTTGAATAAAATTTTCCAAACATTCATTGGTGTCCAATTCTTGAGTCTCTAGCTCTGAGAATCCTTCTCATCTGATCTTGCTTCTAGTAAGGGGCAACTGTGCCAAGGCCATAGCTTACTTTCTTCTTGGTAAAGACGTAACCCATCTCCACAAATCCACTTCTTATAAGGTTCTGTTTCACAAAAATTTGGTCTGAAATCATGTCCACACTATAAACTTGATTGAAATCATTCTTCTCCAAAATAACTCTAATTGCAAGCTCATATCTGAAAGAAAGCTTAGTCTCCAACCTACGATTTTAGGCACCATTCTCTGCTACCACTATTAATAGATTCATGACTAGCTGTAGAGCTCAAAATCAAGATAGATGTACCTTTTTATGTAGAGCATATTGACTTTATTAGTCTTTCCTCTCATTCCCCACCCAGTGTTACAGATATTCCATTTCTAAAGATTTTTTTAAAATCGTCATGTTTGCACATGTTTTGACACATCTCCATGGCAACTGGGACTTGAACCCAGAGCTCTGGTTCAGAAATAGGGATGCTGTCACTGAGCCACAGGTCCTTAGCCTCCTGATTGTACGGATACCTTTAATCAATCTGTTCAGAGATACTGGAGCAGGTGAGACTTCAAGCTGAGTTGTCCAACTCACAGGTAGGCCCACTACCACTATGCCACGTGAACTCCTTGATTGCATGTGTTCAGACAAGTAATAGCGAAAATCTGTTTCTTCTTAATCTTAAATATAGACATTAATAATTTAGGCTGGATACAACTTGTAACTCATGATGTGTTGCTATATATCTAAACCATTCAAAACCCTCAAATAGATTTCATTCAGTAGTTCACACCATGTATTGTCAATCCTTTGTATAAAACACTTCTGTTCATAAGTTGGTGTGCACCTGTGTGTTTGTGCATGCATCACTGCCATGACACTGGATTTTTAATTTATTCGTCACATAGTTTGTTAGATTGAAAAGGTTTCAAACCAAATGTGTACTAGCATGATGCCTTAAGCACTGTGGTCTTAAATTATTCTTGAAATTTAAAAAGAAAACCTTCAAGAAAGGCTGTTGCCTAAGATCTTGTAAGAAAACTAATATTGCTTCTGGTTTAAGAGATGATATGAAATAGAGTGGAAACTCAAAATAGAGCAAGGGTTTTTTTTAATCGCATGGTTTGGTCACTGGCTGTTTTCTTTGAAATATTAATAGCACTGGCGGTGATCCAAAATATTTCTCGCCTGCCTGACCAAACTTTGGCCTGCAAAGCTTTCAAATGCTTAATTTGACTGTCAGTCACACTTCTCTCCTCTGTACTTGTATGAAAGAGCCACAGATGGAAAGTATATAGACGACCTTGGACAGTGTGGGATTTTTGCTTGCATTACGCGCATTGTGCAATCAGTTGCAGTTCGCTGTCTCTATTGAGGGCTGTCTAAGTTTACACCCAACTCTAATTAAGTGGTAATTGATGGCATTAATCTGTCGTGGAATTAAAATGTGCAAATAAAAAGCAGTCTGCATAGATAATTTTCACCTGTTTTGTTGACACAATGGGGAAATGTACTGAATGTCTGTCATTTACTTCGTGTTTTGGGTATATGTCTTTTCCAGTGTACACAATTTAAACCTGGTCATTTCAAATATTTTCTAACAAGAATGATTGACATTGACTTAGCACACAGCACAGGCTGCACAAGTGTATTCAATGTGCTGCCTCCAATATGAATTCAAAATTCTTGTTCTTTTCCACCAATAAATTATCAACAGTCTATCCTCATTTAAACTAACTTCAATATGCTAGTCATTAACCATAAAGCTATCTAAATGCAACAGTTCATGGAGGTGAAGCAGGTTCGTTATACCAAAAGAGACAGTTGTTTCATTTTAGCTTGTACCTGGTTTATGCTTGGATCTGATGATGCAATTTAGAGTTTGACCTCAAGAGAGGGGAAGGGAATGGCATATA